AATTCAGCTTCGAATTTGACTGAAACTTCAGGGTCCTAATACTGATAAATATACTTCAAAATTTGCACTATTAAGATTTTGATTGTCTGTTTGTGATTAAGCTGGAGTGGTGAAAGTTTCTCAAGTTCATCCAGGGTATAATATCCTATCATTTTGGCCGACACAACATGATGACAGCAATTCCTTCAAAACACAGTTTAAGTTAGCATCTTTTTTTCTTGCAGTTCTGTGTGGTCTTGTACAATCTTGCTGTGAACTTCCTGTGCGAAAAGCTTGCTGAAAATTATCATCTTACCAAGATTTTACAGATTCATGCTGCCTCAAAATAGCTTCCTGTAAGCTTTTAGCGAACTCTGTCTGTTCAGTGTGCGCTCCTCTTTGAGCTGACATTTAGGTTTGTGAACTTGAAATGTGGTGTAAGAGATTAGAAGACAGGCAGTCATTATATTCCCCTAAATAATGGAAGCTCAGGATTTGTGTGTCCCACTCTGTTGTTGGGTTTGGTTCTATTCACTAATGTTTCGAATACCAAGTGATAATTTTACATGAGTGTATCTGACACGGATTGGCAGCAAGATTGTTTGATCCTGAAGTATATCCTCAATGAACATAATTTTTCTACTTGTTTCTTGGCAGCACTGACATTAAAATTATGGGAAAACTAGGTATTTTTTATGAAATCATTAAATATGTTTGAAACAGTTTTAATTCCATGCCAAGATGACACTCTTCATGCCTACTGTACTAATGAGGCATTTTCTTTTCTCATCACTCACTTGGGCCACTGAAAACAACTTTGGTAGCCAAACTCTGGCCCTATCTAAATGCAACTAATTAATCACAAAATGAATACAGAAAAGAATTGCAGGGTGTCCTCACTTCAAGTTGGAGTAAGGGCCCTGGAAAAGGCTTGAAGTGAAATGACTTGAAGTGAGACCTGGTTGCAATAGCAATCAATGTTGAAGCCGTAGTTTGTTTGCTGAGGACAATTTTTGCCAAAAAAATCAATGTAAAACTTGAAATGCTGTGCCAGACATCTGTAGCATGTGCATTCCTAGCTGAAACCATTTGTAAAACAAAACAAGGAAAGCATTAGTGTAGAAAGCAGGCTTCTAGTTTGCAGAGAAGTCTTTCAAAAAATTTACAGCCTAGTACAGGTACAGTGCAAGTTCCTCAACTGTTGCACCTGTACAGCTAAAATACTCTACAGTACAGTATACCAGAGAATTATTTTTTAAAAACTGAGTCTAGGTACAAACAACAGAGAAAATTTTAAAAAACAAAAACTAATGCAAAGATGAGAAACAAAGTTTACTTCAGGACCTGAACAGAGGACAGTTTTTAAAAAATCGTCTTTGACTGCAGGGCACAGAAATAGTGGTGCCAACTTGAGCAGCACAATCAGGAGGCCTTGCTGGTGATATGATGGCATGACTTATGTGATGTTATGAGAGGCACAATGACTCCAGACCCAGCCAGGAAGTAAATGGCTATTAAAAAAGAGAAAGCCACTTTGAATGAGGAGAGAGGACACTTTAAAGCAAAAAGTCATTAAAAGAGAAGGCAGAATTGCAGACTTGTTGCATTAATATAATATGAAGCTACTCAAGTGTCAGCTTTGAGCCATTATATTATGAATGTTAAGAGGTAAATATGTATCTGCTCATACAGCCAATTAATGAGCATGTGTTTCAGAAGAGGCAGGTATGCTTCTTTACATACCTCTCACTCACATCCTGTTAAAGTAGTTCAGTCACCATCCCAGCCACAGTCAGACGAGCATTTCCTGAAGTTCAGCTGTAGCTACTTAATACAGTATCAGAGGGAAATCTGGATGCACGTTTCCATTTGGAGCTGAACGTATCATGTAGGAGAGAATCACATTCTGTCTTCAACTTCACAATTTCTCACCCTGTCAGAAGCTATATGGTTTCAAGGCTACATCCAAGCTCAATCCATCACCTCTAGCTTAGTGCTGACAGGGTCAGAGGAGAGCGTGAAGGGTTCTGGCAGTATGCCAAATATTCAAGCTGTGGCTGAGCAGCAAGTCAATCACTTTCAATCAGTCAAGGAAGAAAAAAATGAACTGCTTGCTTGCTCTAATTCCTGCGATTTTATTCACAACACCATGGTCACTGACAGGAAATTAACAGCACTGCAAATTCTTTGCTGATTTAATCATATATTGCAGTACAGTATTGGTGTTTAAACAATTTAACCCATTACAGCACATGAACATTGCCTTGCACAACTTACCTTTGCACAATGAACATTTTCAACTGCTCTGTACAAGTGTTTTTGAGATTTCCAGTGTACAGTCAAACTTCGGAGCATTTGGACCAGAGAGACTTTCTTGCTGATTCCAGAGTATTGTAAATCATTGGAAATCTTAGAAGCCTAAAAAACCTTGTTCAAGTTAACATAACACTGCAGAACTTTTGGTGAACTGGACTCTCTCAAAGCATCACTAAAATTTCCATCATGTGGCAGGACATTTGGGAGCTAGAACCTTGAGAGACATCGTTAATGTTTGCGTAATACGTCAAACTTAGGCACAGCTCATTAACAGTTCACGCTTGCATTAATTCTGAATCCAGTTTTTTTCCATGTGTCTCTATAAGTTGACTGTTCACTCAAACATTACAAATTACAGAAGACTCTGTTAAAAAGAAGAACATAAACAACAATTCCTATTCTCTGTTGGGAGACTATTTTGAAGCATGGAAGACAAAAGCTGATGTATTTGGGAGCCTTTCCTCCTTTGGTCACCATTTGGTGGGTTATGTTTCATGTACTAGAATAATTTGTTCAGACTGTTTACCATGAGTGCCAAACAAGTAAACGATATTTTATGTTCTTCAAGAACACTTCGCTCAACGTTTTTATTTTTAACTCTATTTTCCTTACCTTCAAATATGTTGTGATCAAAGTGGGTGTTGTTAATACTAGGAAAGGGCCACTTATATTTGAGGCATCCAGTAGACTTAAATTAATTAAGCACAGAGTAAAATTTTTATGGTCACCCGACAGTGCTCAGTTTCAGTGTCAAAAAAATTCTCTCTGTTTCTTTTGTGAGATATTTGTCCATTTTCCACCTGGCTGCAAATTGCCATAGTTTCCAATGAACTGCAGTTTATACTCTGGCTTATGACCTGACGACCATATCTTTGAGAGTTGGGGTGAAACTGTCTTGAATTAATTTCATAGGTTTCTTCCTGCCATCAGACTGTCATTTATTCCCGTTGCCTGGGTTGCAGAGGTGAATCACTATGTCCCTGCAGCACCCAGTCATGTTAATCCTTACTTAACGAAATCTTGAATGCATCCTCACACAGAAAAATGAATGAGACAGATAATTTGCTTGAGCATGATTATACATTTTTTGGGAAAAAATTTTCAATATTGACCTCATTTCTGGACCAGAAATAAATGTGTTTATGACATATTTTAGTTTTTCTTTAAGGTAAGAGGAAAATTAATTCTTCTTCAGATCATGGATGTTTGTGCGAAGTATGGTTATTTTTCCATTGTTTAAATTGAGCTCTCCCACTTGAATGGAAGCAACCTCCTGTCCCCTGACAATGCACTCAGAGACCAACCTGAGATCAGCACATCTTCAATGTGTCACTGAGATATTTCCATTCCAGGCCTCCCTAGTGGTATCTCCGACTGAACATCACAGCTATTGATGCCAATTTTTTGGATCATGGACATCTGCCCTCCACAAAGGCTTGGTTAATCGCTTTAAAAATTTGACAAATTTTTAAAATCAGGCAAGAACAATGTATTATATCAGTGAGGCCTTTAATACTTCTTCATAATGTCATCAGTTGTGGCCAAAATTTAAATTTTTTGCCCAATGTTTTGAGTGTACTGCCCCATCCAGTTGCACATAACTAACATGAAGTATTTATGAAACTGAAACATTGAAGTAAGATCAGAAGGAATTACTTTTCCTAAGTGGTAACAATCATCGCTACGCAGTGACTGATGTGTTATCAGGGATGTCAGGTGAAAGAAAAACTTTGTCAACCTGTTCAGGTGGTCCAAAATGACCTGTTTTCCAAAATTTGGCTGACATTTATATCTCAGTTTTTAACCACAAAAACGCATGATCTCATTGCTGCTTGTTGGGCCTGACTGAGGTAGAACTGATTTGGTGTGGACTTGTTGGGCCGAAGGGCCTGTTTCCTTACTGTAGGGATTCTATGATTCTGTGACTTCTGTGTTTAACTAATTGTCTGAAGTGCTGATGCGAAGTACCACCAAAATGCAATTTCTTTCTGTCCTTGAAGTTTCCAGTTTTTTGCAATGTGTCTAACTTCAACTGACTTTTTTCTTTGAAACATCTTAAGAGCCTAGGTTTTATCATTTAAAACAATTTCCACACAATCAACTGATCTGTTCTGTAAATTCTGAACAGATTGATGAATCAGCTTACAATTATTTGTATCTGACATCGGTTGATTAAATCACTGCTCCCAAAAATATCTGGCAGTTCTATGTTTATGGGTATTGGGATTTCCTTAGGTTTTCTTTGTAAAAGTACAAATTGAATTTAATTTTACAGATGTTATGACTGTGAAGGCCATAATCCCAACCAGTGTCTCAGCAATACGATTACAGCATGGATAGAAAGCATATGTCTGTGCTCCTGACATTTTGCACAGTGAAATTCCAATGGTGAAACCACTAGCTAAAACAGAAACGGGTCACTTGACCATCAGAGGAGAAAGAAAATGAATCGAACATTAAATAGTTCTATTTGAATAATGAACTGTCATGTGTAAGTTGAATAATTCACCCTTTGACTTTTTCTCGTGCACAGCAATAAATGAAAAAGGAACAGCACTGAAGCTAGTTCATATTTCCACAGTCGAGTGAGCCATAAACTGAAAGCAAGAGTCACGGAGCAAGTGGAACTCGGCTCAATGCTAATTATTATTTTTCACCATAGCATGTGCGCAAGTAGTAATCAGACCTTATCAAAAAGGACATACCTTCTGTGGGGTCAAGGCGACGGGCTCTGCGTCCATGCTTGGAGTTGTTGTGCACAAACATGTTATCGGAAACAGCCAGCACATGACCATCAACATTTATTGTTGTTGATAAAACAACCTGTGAAGTTAAGTGCAAGGCAATGTTACGTTTTAGCTTTGTAGCTTGTCATAATATGGTCATCTTCATCCCCAAAACTGCACTCCACAAAAAGTAATTGATGATTTCTGGACATTTGTCTGTCTGATGACCAAGAAGCCACTCACCCCAGAAAACTACAGAGTATCATCCATGATGAGGAATGAATGAACTAATTCTAGTTAGGGCAACTATTTGAATAAGTTTTAAGTTCGTCATCTATGCTCTTACAAAAGGAACGACAATATCAGTAAGTTTTTCATTTTGATTTACCACTCAGGGAAGGTTATTGAAGTGGATGATACAAATCAGTCTACTAGGGTATTAATATATTTTTCAAGAGAAGTAGATTTAAGAGCTTAGGTCAAATTGGGTTGCCTTTGTTCACAAACGAAAATGTAGTAGGTTTGTAAAGACGTATCATAATAGAAGCACATATCATTGTGAAGTATCGAGGGAGTATCAAATGATCAGAGATCTTATAAGACTTTAAATTAAAGCCTAATTAGGAGCCTAAGATGAATGTTGAAAATCTCCTGATGCTCTCCTACTAAAAAAAGAAAACGTTTTGTTTTCTGGTCACTAACGAGCAAAGTACTTCAGATCCCCAGCAACTGAAATAAAAACAGAAAGTGCTGGAGAAGCTCAGCCAGTTTGGCAGCATCTGTGGAGAGAGAAAAACAAAGTTAAACTGAGAGGCAAATATGTCAGGAGATCTCAGATATCTTTAAGAAAACTAGCGTTGTAATGGTAGGGGATTTTAACTTGCCAAACATTGGCTGGGACTATCATAGTGTTAAGGGCTCGGATGGAGAGGAATTGTTAAGTGTGTACAAGAAAACTTTCTTATTCAGTATGTGGATGTACCGACTAGAGAAGGAGCAATACTTGACCCTCTGTTGGGAAATAGGGCAGGGCAAATGACTAAGGTGTCAGTGGGGGAGAACTGTGGGGCAAGTGATCTTAATTCTACCAGTTTTAAAATAGATTTGGAAAATGATGGAACTGATCCGCAAAAGTTAAAGATCTAAACTGGATTACGGCCAATTTTGATGGTATTAGACAGGAACTTCCAAAGTTAATTGGGGGAGGGTATTCGCAAGTAACGGGATGGTTGTGAAGTGGGAGGCCTTTAAGAATGAGTTTAAAAGAGTTCAAAGACAGCACATTCCTGTTAGTATGAAGGACAAGGCTGGTAGGTGTAGAGGATGTTGGATGACTAGAGAAACTGAGGCTCTGTTCAAGAATAAGAAGGAGGCATTTATGCTATAGACAGGTGGGATTGAGTGAATCCTGAGAAGAGTATAAGGGCATTCGGAGTATACTTAAGAGGGAAATCAGGAGGGCAAAAACAGGACATGAGATAACTTTGGCAAACAGAGTTAAGGAGAATACAAAGAAATTCTACAAGGGCATTTAGGGCAAAAGAGTAACTGAAAAGAATAGGGCACCTTAAAGATCACTAGTAGGGCCTGTTTCCACATTGTAGGGATTCTATGATTCTATGATGATTCTAGATGGGTGAGATACTGAACAAGTATTTCACGTCAGTATCTCCTGTAGAGAAGGACGTGGAAGCTAGAGAACTTGGGGAAATAAATGGCAACATCTTAAAAAGTGTCAATGTTACAGAAATGGGAGGTGTCGGAGGTCTTAAAACGCATAAAGGTAGATAAATCGCTGGGACCTGATCAGGTGTTTCCCAGAACTTTATGGGAAGCTAGGGAAGAGATTGCTGGGCCCCTTGATGAGATATTTGTATCATCAATAACCACAGATGTGGTGGCAGAGAACTGGAGGTTGGTTAATGTGGTTCCAAGAAAGTTGTAAGGAAAATCCAGGAAACTATTGACTTACATCAGTGGTGAGTAAGATGTTGGAGGGGATTATGAGTGTCAGGATTTACATGCATTTGAAAAGACAAGGACAAATTAGGGATAACATGGCTTTATGTGTGGGAAATCATGTCTCACAAACTTGTTTGAGTATTTTTGAAGAGGTGACAAAGAAGATTGATGAAGGCAGAGCAGTAAACATTGTCTGTATGGACTTCATTGACGTGTTCAAAAAGATGTGCCATGGTAGGCTGGTTAGTAAGGTTACCTCAGATGGGATCCAGGGGGAGCTAGCCAATTGGATACAAAATTAGTTTGAAGCTAGGAGAAAGAGGGAGGTGGTGGAGGGATGTTTTTTGGACTGGATGCCTGTCACTAGTGGTGTGCCACAAGGATCTGTGCTGAGTCCACTGCTTTTCGTCATTTATATAAATGATTTGGATGTGAATATAGGAGGTATGGTTAGTAAGTTTGCAGATGACTCCAAAATAGGCAGTGTAGTGGACAAGGAAGAAGATTATCTCAGAGTACAATGGGACCTAGTCCAATGGGCTGAGGAGTGGCAGATGGAGTTTAATTTAGATAAATGTGTGCTGATGCATTTTTGTAAGGCAAACCAGGGTAGGACTGATATAGTTAATGGTAATGCCCTGGGGAATGTTGCCAAATAAACATACCAAGGGGTGAAGGTGCATAGTTCCATGAAAGTGGAGATGCAGGTAGATAGGGTGGTGAAGAATGTGTTTGACACACTTGCCTTCATTCATCATAACATTGTATATAGGAGTTGTAGCGGCTAGACAGGACATTAGTGAGGTCGCTTTTGGAATACTGTGTAAAATTCAGGTTGCTCTTCTGTATGAAGAAATTTGTTAAATTTGAGATGGTGCAGAAAAGCTTTACAAGGATGCTGCTGGGCCTGGAGGGCTTGAGCTATAGGAAGAGGTTGAATCAGCGAGGGCTTTCTTCCCTGGAGTGTTGGAGGTTGAGAGGTTACCTTATAGAGGTTTGTAAAATCATGATGGGCATGGAGAATGTGATAGCCAAAGTCTTTTTCCTAGAGTTAGGGAGACACAACTGGAGGGCACAGGTTTTAGGTGAGAAGGGAAAGATTTAATAAGTTACCGGAGGGGTATCTCTGGGTTTAGACTGCGTTTAACTCTGCATCTCTGCTCACATTCAAATATAAGACTGTGACATCATTGACAGAATTCCCCATACTGTCCGTGTCCTGACAGTGTTTGATACAGGAGATGTATATCTACATTTAGTATTTGAAGAGAAAATATGAATATAAATTTTTCACTGTTTAAAGAATACATGATTTCAAATGACTGCAGCAGCCCTTTACATTCTTAGAGGAGTGGCAACAATCCAGGTTCCCCTGCTGTGTAAGATGTCAGCTATCTGAGAACTTGTATTGAATATGACAATGAATCATGAACTTTGGCAAGAATGATTCCAGAGCATGTAGATTTTGATGCGTGACTCGGATGTTCCTATCATCAATCACTGGAACTGAAAACTGCATTCTAATATCGCACATCTAATAGGTACTAGAATAGCCAAATCCTAAATATGTATACAAAAAACTCATTCATGATTTTGCAATATTAGGTGCATGAGGGAAAATGTCTTTGGAGTGCAAATAAGGGTAGAAATTCAGTACAATCCAAATTGAAAATTAAGATTAATGCAGTGAAATGGAAGAAAATGCTTAAATGATTGCGAGACCAATAATGTATGGCTAATCGGGTGACAACCGGGATTGGAATCATAAGAGCTATTTATTCAGTGTGTGATCTGTGTCAGGACTATGCACAGTTGATTAATTTTTGAACAAGTACTTCAGTTTTTCTGAGTTGTGACCTTATGATATTGGGTAAGTGGTAGAGTGGCATGTGGGGCAGAGTGAGTGACATCATTGGACCAGTCTTACTAGCCAAATCAGCAGTAATAATGAGAGTGCTCTGTGACAGGCCACGTATCTGCCTGCTTTCTCTGTAAACAGAGTGGTGTTTGTCACATTGTGAGATGATCGAGGGGAATAAGTAATAAACTTCAAAATGGGAAGAGTAAGTGTAAAATGCTCCTGGTCAAATTTATAAAGCTAGTTTGTAGCAGTGTATTAACCTCGGATCAATCATGAGGCTATGCTGAGTTAGAAGCTCTCAAGCAGGGAAGCAGTAATCATATAATGATCTAGATCAAAATGCCAGTCAGCCTGTCATGCCTGTGACGAATCTTTAGTGAAGCTATCCAATGATTTTTGACTCTGCCTCTCTTTCCCTATATTCCCGCAATTTTCTAACCTTCATCCAAATTGTTGCTGTACTTTGAAAATTACATTTGAAGCTACTTCTACCACCCTTATTGACTGTGTGTTCCAGATCACAAGAATTTGCCATGTGTTAAATCAGACCCTGCGTGACCCTCCCCAATGTGTTACAGCTCCAGACAGGATATCCCACACTGTTCAGTTTCCAGATGAAAAGCAATGAACTGGCTGTATTTCTTTATTCACCCACCCTGTCTTGGTTACAAGAGGTTAATTTATAAAAGATCCCTTCCCTTGAGAATACCTTTCTCCCAGATCAAATTAACTTCTCTTTAAAAAGGAGCCACTTTAGCTGGGCCTTTTTGAAATAACAAAGGAGTGAGTTTATTGTCATTTTGTCGCACTGGTTGCATTGATGTCGGCAGTTGAACACTTGATTTTCAGGATTCTTGATTTTAAATGCTGATTGAAATTCCTTTATCCTGATTCTTTTTTAACTGATTTGCAGCACTTGGAGTGAGACATTATTTTTCTTTCTTTCCCTATAATTTAGGGGTATGTACTGGCTGTTCTGAAACTATCACTTCCTCAGCATATTAGACTCACTCGAGTACACAGCAGTTGAATAAAACTGCTCACACTTGTGTTAAAGCAATCTTTTACCTACTTTTTTTACGTTCCTGGAAGGAAAAGCACATAAATGTCTGTAAGAGGTTGTTCTCAACTGAGAAACGGGATTTGGATAGTCAGCCACCTTATTATCTCAAGTTGCTGTCTCTTTGCTTGAGGTTCCTTTGATACCTTAAGGTGTTACAATCCAAAGTCTCACACACAACAGTGTGGAGCTGGAGAAACACAGCAGGCCAGGT